GTTAGAAGAATGTTTGACCTTGGCTCTGTTTAATTCTGCCAGGTCTACTTGTTACTTAAAGTTAGTCCTTTTAAGTTTTGTTAAAGGGATTAACCTGGGTAGGGACCTTGTAAGCCAACGTGTGGCTTTTGGTGTATTTTATTTGTTTGGTTAAGGACACCCAGCTTTGTGTTTTCTTCATTGATTGTAGTTTTGGTTATTTAAATTTAACTACATGATTTGAAACTAATTTTAGTTTGGTAGTGTCATTTGTTTGTTTATTTGTAACTTTGTAAAGTTACAAAGCACAGTTACTGGCACTTTTGGTTGGTTTGTTATTTGTATTTTTAAATCCATCTTATAGTTTTGTTGGGACTCTTTGTACTTCTGAAAAAGTACCCTCCTTTTGTTAAAAGTTGTTCGTTAGATCACACCTGTCTTACAAATAAACCATTGTTCATATTTTAACCTATTCCATCTGGTTTCTTAATGTTACTTCCTTTTTCCCTGGCTGAGCCGGGTCGTAACATAGCGCTAACCAAAAACACTGGCTGACTCATATGTAAGCAGCCCGAGCCACTAATATCAGACTTCAAAATGAAAAATCTGACTGTGAGGGATTAGTCGAACGAGTGGAGACATGAAATATCATCAACACATCACAAACATTACACAACAACAACAACAACAACAACAGGCAGGAACGCTCTGTTGTCGCAACCCCGATGAGTTTCATCTAGTTGTCGTTACGAGCCTGGCCTACGCAACAACATTACTAAACTTCTTTCTTAAATAACAGCTACTGGCCTGTTGACACACAAGCTCATGAAAAACTTTGCTGCAAAAGAAGATGACGACAGCAATACTGCAAAGTTCAATGCATTCCTTCATCGCTACCGCCAAAGAAAAGTAGTGCTGAGACACAAAAGAGGAGGTGGAGTGGAATGGAAGGGGGATGGGGGGTGGGGGGGTGTCTTCTCCCTGCTTTCAACGCTAATCAATAAGAAGCTCTTGCCAGAGCAAAGAGGAAGACTCCTATTTGGCACCATTGTCACACATGGTTCTAAACAAGAGTTCAGGATGCAGGCTAGACTGAAAACAATATGTTAAGCAGACACATTACACCTGCCTGTGTGATCACAACAAAAGCATTAATTCTTGGGCCCGAAGCAGACATAATGTTGATGTCAGAAGGGATAGAAACCAAGCCAGTGAGTCACAGTGGGAGCTGGGAGTCACCTCGCTGACAAAAACAGTGAATCACGATGCAAATAAATGCTTCACTTCCTGTGACACCCTCCAGGATAAAAGCCTGCAGTGCTGAAGAAGTGATATAAGCACAGTAAATTGTTATTATTCACTGTGATAATGATGCAAAAAGTAAGGTTGGGGAAAAAAAAAAATCGCATCGTTTGCACGTTTTCCCCCAGAAAACTTGTTAAGCCTGGTGGTAGGGCTGTTTTGGCAGCCCAGTGGTGGCCCTGCGTGTTTTTGTTAGAAAATGTTAAAAGTTGATAATTACACATCAACTATAGCAGAGGTCACCGGCAGAGCTACTTCAGGGAAGGGCTACTTGTTTACTACAAACAAATTTACATAACTCACATTTAATCATAGCATTAATATTAAAAATAATAAATGTATRCATGTTGTAAATATCTGACTGCCTGATTCCATCTTAATGTTAAAGACTCCTCACTTTAATTATCAATAATAATTTCTTATGGCAGATTAGATAATAATAATAATAATAATAATAATAATAATAATAATAATAATAATAATAATAATGAACTCCGAGTCCAGAGTTCTCAGTTTGAAAAGCTTTTTGAGCTCCTCTGTGTGACTCTAGGTGTGACTGGGAGTTTGGATATTTGTCTTTGTCTTTGTCCCTGTGATGGACTGGAGACCTGTCCATGTGTCCCCTGTTTTCACCTAAAGGCAGCCGAGACGGGCTCCAGCCCCCGCCCACACTTTGATTAGGAGCAAGGAAGACAGAATGGMTGATATTTAAACATAAAACAGCATTTATTTTTTGCTAATCTGAATCAGCAACATTTGAAATTCACTATTTGGTAAATATTTGACAGTTTTGTAGAAAAGAACATATTTTTAATATTTATTCAAAATACACCTGTTTCTTATTGTTTACCAACTCTAATATTTTTCAAAGAAACCAACTATAAAATCTTCAAATCCTACTCACGTTGCACTAATCACTGTCCTTGTACAACCTCAAGGCCACAACGTTGGCTACATGCTGTGCAAGTGCCACAGATTAATCGTTATCAGCTAAATGCCACAACTAATCTTTTTTTTTCTTTTTGCCAAAATTGCCCAGACCTAGCAAAAAGTGATGCCGGTACGTTTAACACAAACACTACGCAAAGTCGCCTTCAGTTCAGGGGGTTCACAGAACCACTTTCTCAGCCGGGTCGATAGTTGAACTCTGGATCATCTGAACGCTCTTCTGTGTCAACGTTTACATTTCGCACTACAATGAACACGAACAGAGCTGCATTCCAGTCAACACCTATTGTGCAAGGTGAAACAGGGACCATTTCAGCCACAATAGACCATCAGCCGAAGCAGTATCCATTTAGAGTACGAGCACCATTCACTGAACATAACCTTCTGAATGCAAAGAGATGATGCATGGAGAGGAAACCTGAACACTAATAAAAATGCTCTACATGTGCATCAAGGCAGACAGTGTTTTATGATCAGTAGAGCAATCCAACAATCTGGCACTTTGCTCATGTTGTTGCTCAATGGTTAATAATTGTTTTCATGCACCATACTGGCGGGACAGGGTGTCACTCTGATGCTTGTTTATGTCTCAAACAGTAATTCATTCGTGATCTTTACAAATAAAGATAAAAATAGATAATATCTCTTCAAATTTCAGTTTTTACTTTCACAGAAAGCCATCTAAACTGAATGACAAATAAAAATAAAAGCATTAAAGGGCCAATATTATGTGTTTCTCAGGCATATATTTAAATACTATACCACAATAAAGTATCTATG